ATCCTAAACCCTAAAACCCTAACCTAAGGATGGCTGCGGCGACAACATTGCCAAGTTCACTCGCGGGGAGGCTGGGAGGTTTGGGGTCCGAAGGTTGAAGAGCCTTGCGGGTTCCCTGAATTAAAGGTCCCTTAAAGGGGACATAGGAGGTATATAGGGATATATAGGGTTTAGGGTTTATTGCCCTCCCCTTTGTTTTGGCTTCAGGGACTGCAGGTCAACATCCCAAATCGCCGAGATTTGCAAAGAGCCGACGACCCCAAGCCCCTCTAGTTTTTGGTTCAGTGTTTAGGCCTTAGGATTTAGGGCTTCGGAGCTTCAGAGCCTACACCTCTGAAGCTCAAGCCCTCAATACTGAGCCTAAAAGGTGACATGGAGACCCGAAGGGCGGGTTTAAGGGTTAAGGGTTTACGGTTTGGGGTTTTAGGGTTTAGGGTTTAGGGTCGGGCTTCGGGTTTAGGAAACCCTGAAGGAGACCTACATAGACTACGGTCCATTCATGTGGTAGTTTCCCCAAATAGGGGGACCCCTCCATATAGACCGCTAAATACTATAGTCCTTAATATGGGAACCACCCAAAAAGAGTATCCCTAATTTTGAATCTTAAGCCCTTGGCCTACGCCGGAAACCCCGAAGCCCTAGCCTCGCCGCATCCTCCAAACTAACATGGAACCCCATATGGGTGTTTAGGGTCTAGGGCCCAGAATCCTGGGTACCTTTACCTTGAGAGGGTTTATAGGTGTGGAAGAGGGTTTAGGGAGTATGGTTTAGGGTTTCTTTTGGGGTGTAGGGTTTGGGGTTTAGCTGGTCAAAAAGGCTTTAGGTATCTTTAGGTAGGCTGGGTAGACCCCTTGCATATTTCATATTTCCCCCAATAGTTCTAATGGGGGTCATAATCCGAGCACTTGATTAATTTGGGGGCCCCCCCGCCAGAATAAGGAATGAGGAGCGACAGATTATTTCAAAGAATGATTGGGATTCTTGAAACTCAATTAAAAAAGAATAGGAATGTATTCCTGCGTCGTTGCGGCTCTTGGACTTCTGTTAATTAAAAATGAATAGGAATGTATTGAATTATAAGGATTGGTTCCCCGATTTTTTTCTTTGAATCTGGTCCCTCTTCCCCATACGAAAAGCCACCTAATTGTAGCCAGTCTTTGGAGCCTGATTCCATCAAACAAATCTTTAAATTTGGTCCCTTTTATTATTCTAGTGCTTGGATTTTTCAATGGGTTTCAGGGGCCAACTCAGATAGGGTCAACACTATTTGGAGTTTAGGGCGCTGAGCTTGCCATCTGGGGACCGGGGAGGCCATGAACATCGACATGACCACTGGTCTCCCCATCCGATGAGGCCAAGACAGTATTCCATTCTAGGCACTTTGAATTGGGTCTCCCAAGGCGAACTGTAGGGCTTCGTGGCGATAGTGCAGAATGGCTCAAGTAGGCCGAGTAAGAAATAGGAGTAATAGTAACAGTCATAGTAGTAGTTAGGGAAGGGATGGTCAATTTCTTGGCGTCCTGCTCAAAGAGCGGATGCCCACCACAAGCCGAGGCCTTGCTTTCTAGTTCACGAAAAAGTTCTACCGTAGCTCAAAAAGCGCATTCCTGAGCTGTTTGGGAGATCCAGTTCATGGCTACTTCTCGACAATTTGAAGAGGTTTTCCAACACAGAGCTCCAGATAGCTGTTCCGATTTATGAGTGCTCTTTGCGAGCTGGCATTTTAGCCGGAGCGAGCCTCCAAGGGACCAAATGACGCTGAGAAAAGCGCGCCGCATGCGCAGATGCCCCCCACTTGATTCCCTAGAGTAGTCCCTACGGAATCCACTACAATACTCCCTACAGACCACGACCCCACACTCACCCAACTAAGCGTGAGTAATTTGTTGGACGTTGTTGCCTCGGCTTTTGAAATTCTGGTTTATTTTGTGGCAGTTTGTTGGCTTGAGATTGAATTAATCATGTTTCAGGTGCTCTGTATAGTGCGGCCATCGTTCAGCACACGCTGCGGTGTACAGCTTCCAGCAGAGGGCAGGGAAGTGAAGTTGTCCATTGCCCGTCTACACGTTGGACATCTGTGCAAGGAGCTCTTCATGCATCATGCGTTCGAGCTTGTGCGATGTAGTCAGGGACCAAACTACCCACACCATTCCGCACCAGAACTGTCGTGCTGGACAGCCGTTTTAAATCCAAGCAAGGCCAAATCGACAAATGACCGGCACAGCCTAGCTAAAGGAGGGGACTGGCAAGCAATTCTGCTAGCAACAAGCTTATGCCGTGTGTGAGGCTGAAAATGCAGTCAAGACCGATTTATGTGTGGTTTCACAGTGTACCTCGGAAACCAGTTTCTTAGTGCCATTCCTTTGGCATTGCTCAAGCCCTGCACCCGCATAATGTAGACCCCTCCTTTTAAGGGCCTTAATATTCGGATCCCTATTATAATCCCTACTAAGGGGAGGGTGTGTTTTTTTACATCAGGGGTCTACATTACACTAGTTCAAGGGATCCTTTTTCAGGGATGGTGACCTGCAGATGGTGCCGATGGTGCCGTATTCCAGACACATGCTGCGGAGTGGATTTGCACAACCTCTTTGCGTACAGCAGCTCAGTCCGTGCAGAAAACCGAATGAATCCCCCTCAAAGAAAAAATGCATTATCCTTCCCAGCCTGCATTTCCCAATTAAAAGCTGGTACTACACTAGAAGTAATTATTCCTAGGGGGTTGGGCCTTCAGAAGGTTTTCTTCAGCTTCCTGATATCAGGCTGTATTTGTTCAACCCTAGACATTAAATGAACCCCAAGCCGTAAACAATGACTACTCCTGGAATCATGGGCACTAGTTTGCCCTAAACCCTACACCTAAACGCTAGTTTTGGTCTGCCACTTGGGCCCTGTAATAGGGCATCTTTCCATCTGAAATCGTTTTGGGGTAGATAAGTGAGAAGTCTGCTTTGAGAAATGCTCGCAAGCCATGCCCTGATCCGAGGCACCACAAAATACATCGTCATCCGCGATGCGCGGTTGGGCTTCGCGTCTGAACTTTGCTGTTGTGTTGCTCTTGAAGGTACAAGTCTTTGGGCAGAAAGGCTACGAATTTGGGCTGTATGGTCTGAAATTTGAAGATATGTTGTGCCAGGGGCCCATGTCATTTGACTGGCCCTTTACATCTTTACCCGTGCTATAAGTACAGAGTATATAGCCAACTCTGCTTGCAACCTGTCCG